TTTTAATGTATTCAATTACTTTCAAGCAAGAAACAAATGTAATTATCCTACTACCTTAATTTTTCCATCAGATTATAAAATTGTTTTCCGTATTATTCCTATGTTAGTTATTTATAACTTAATATTATTATTTTTCTACTGTCTTCCATTATAAAGTAATAAATTTGTATAAAAATTCTTCTACTAATATTATTTTTATTTGACGAGGTATTTAAATATGTAGTTGTTTATTAAAATTTAAAGATCTGAATATATATGCTTAAACAAATAAAAATACCAACAATGAAGTATAAAAAATTATAGCAGCCTCTTTTATTACTACCTAATGTAAATGTGGCCTCTAATAGTAAAAAAATTCCCCACCTCTGGTATAGATTATTAAAATATATGTAAAATGATATTAAAACACTTCTTCTTTAAGTGTTTTCAAGCAGAATTAATGCATGTTTCATGCATTTATCCGATACGTATTATATGAAAACAGTAATTGTAACATCTTATATGTTATAGGGATTCGAGTTCCAATAACTGGCTTTGTACGAGAGTCCACTGTACATTTAAAATTATATTCCAATCAAATTAAGACTACAGTAGAACCTCCGTTATATTCCAGTATCTACAAATTATTCGTTTGGAACTATGTTAATAATTAATTATATTTTGTATTGTAGGTATTCGTTCTAAGGTCGAGTAAATGAAAGGATCTTACAGAGCCATGGATCACAATGTAACTGCATGAAAATTAACATAAAATATAACAAGTTAAAAAAGATTATAAATCAATATAAACGACGACTGATATATAGACTTTATGTCTTTGTTAATTTACTTACTATCAAGTTTCGCAGGTACGTCGTCGATCACGCATTGTTGCGTGTAAGAGTCCTCGATCGTCGGATCGTAATCGGTTACGAAGTAACTCTGAAATAATTAAAAAGAGAATATCAGTAATCATACTCGAAATGCTTTTATGCAATTGTATGACGTGCTTTTAAACAAATTACTGCAATTGATTACTAGTGAAAGAAACTTATATAATTATTCATCAGCATAAAAAGTTTCAG